AAGGATCAGTAGAAATTATGTTTCACCTGTCAGGACTTGGCCATAAATTCCACACATTTTTTTTCTCACCATTGATACCTTTGGTATTACAGTGTGCCACAGGTTACACGGCTTCAGTGGTAGAGATGCTTCCGCTGCAGCCAAATTTGCTGAGGAGTCCATGTTTACCCTCTGGGCCATGATGGGAGCCTTGCAGCCTTTTGTGTCCCCTAATATATATGTCAGAACTCTATTTCCAGGTATGAACACTGGCCCTTCAGTATCCAATGAGGCCTACCAGACATTGTGTCCTCTAAAGAGATGCCCCGGCGTGCACCAAACCCATGTAAACATAAAAGTTTCACTGATGCACTTTGGGAGGCCGAGGCAGGCGGATCACGAGGGCAGGAGATCCAGACCATCCTGGCTAACACTGTGAAACCCCATTTCTACCAAAAATATAAAAATTTTGACGGGCGCCTGTAATCCCAGCTACTGAGGAGGCTAAGGCAGGAGGATGGCGTGAACCCGGGGGGTGGAGCTTGAAGTGAGCCGAGATCGCGCCACTGCACTCCTGCCTGGGCGACAGAGCGAGACTCCGTCTTAAAAAACAATTTTTTTTCTCTCTGATGTGATGCAGTGGCCATTCAATCTTTGTTGTATTCACAACTCACTGAAGTGTATGCATCTTACCACAGTTTCCAATGAGCTTGCTCCTTCTCTCTCATCTAGTTCATTTTGTACAATGTCATTAGCATAGTGAACAAGAGTTAAATTTTGTAGGCTGTCCGAGCAGTCCAGGTCTTTTCGCTATATTATGATAAAGAGTGGGAGAGTTAACAGACCTGGGGTAAGAATGTAAGTGTTTACTCATGTCAGCCCTAAATAAATACCGAACATTTTTGGTACTCATTTGTTAAAAGAGATAAAAAATAATTCTTTTGCCAAATTAGTGGCCATATTTTCTGTACCTGAGGGTGGGGTACTTTGCTTTAACAAGTATACCACATTTAAATCAGCAGCTACACTTGGAATTATTGTTTGGTTGAGCTTGCAATAATCAATTGTCATCATCCAGAATCCATATAGTTTTTGTCAGAGCTGCACTGGTGAATAAAATAGAGATAAATGGACACCAGCATCCTTGCATCTTTGAGGTATTTATGGGTGGCAATAACCTTTGTCATTCACTCTATCATGCAAAATTATTTTGGGTTTACTATCGTGTCCAGTGGAGGGGAGGAGAGCAGTTTCAGGAGCCTTGATCTCACTACAGTACATACCAAGCTGGCCAAGGAATCAGTGTGAACTTTGTACCAATTCTTAAGTATGTGATGTCCAATTATGTATTCAAAGACCAAAGAATGTCTACTGGGTGAGTCCTTGGGCCTGCTGTGAACCAGACATAAACAAGTACTCTATTACTGGGACTCCATAAGCTTCTACTCTGACAGGAGGGTCATGATCCTTTCCTGGGAATCAATGTCAATTTACACCTGCATTCTGCAACCCTAGAAATGTATGTCCTGGATTTTTTCCCAGTTATTCAAATAAAAGGGCATGAATCCTGTTGTGAACTGATTTGTGCTCCCATCCAAACACATATGCTGAAGACCTAACCCCCAGTGGGACTATATTTTAAGAGAGTGTCTTTAGGAGGAACCTAAGGTTAAATAAGTTCATAAGGGTAAGGCCCTAATCTCGTAAGACTGGTATGCATATAAAAAGAGGGAAAGATACCGTCTCTGCACGTACACAGAGAAAATGTCATGTGAGGACACAGTGAGAAGGCAGTAGCCAACTCCAGGAAGAGAGACCTTATTGAACATTGAGCTGGCTAGCACCTTGATCTTAGGTTTTGAGCCTCCAGAATGATGAAAAATAAATTTCTGTTGTTTAAGCCACCCAGCCTATGTCGTTTCATTATGGCAGCTTGAGAATACTAATATAAGTCGCACTGGGTATGGACTGGAGAAATATTTACCATTTACTCTAGTCTTGGTGTTGAAGAAGGCTTCCTTTTAAGGATGAATTCTCCCATTATTGGGTCCTCTGTCAGAAGACTGGCTTGGGCCAAACTAGATTGGGGTAATAGTTTATACCTTTTGAGTACATGGTTGCCCTTAGCCTACTAGTAATCCACCCTTGATTTCTTTCCTATCGTACATGTCCAGCAAAATCAGTGGTATACAACTGACTGTTAAATTTTCAAAGGTTCTCAAACCAATTGTTAATTGTAAAAATTGTTATCTAAACTTCAACTTAATAATATTAAATTAATAAAATAATATTAAAGCAAAGGTATTCATTGGTGCAAAAGTAACTTTTGCACCAACTGTAAGGTGCATTAATGTGCTTTGGTCAAGTAGGCTGAGGCAGACATCCAGGCCATAGTGACTTAGCGAGTTTGGAGCGCAGGCATATAACTCCACTTGCTATATAACCTATTTGTATAAGATCATACTTGGCTCAAATCCACTATTGTTTGGAAAGGGTATGACTGCCCTGCTGATGCTGTACAGGTGCTTGTGGGCTTGCCTTGGCTCAGCATGGCATGGCATGGCTCACACTGGTACCCAGAAAGAGAGTAGCACAACTGACCCTTGTAAGGGAGAGCCAGTCACCTTGAAGGCAGGCAGAGGGGAACCAGGAACGAGCTTGTGCCCAGAAGGGAAGAGTTAAGCTGCTGATCCTGACAGAGCTGGCCTTGCAGGCCAGGGCGTGCTGCTGCAAGTGCCGCGGTGGCAGGAGTCACAGAGCCAGAGCAGATCGCAGAGATAAAGGCAGACAGTGTGAGAGCGTCGCTGATGGTAAATAAAACTGCATTTCACCTGTCTAGGGCCCCCAAGTATTCTTTCAGCTATCGTCCATCCACTCACTTCCCTCAGACCTCAGCAGGGGCTGGAACCTAACCCGGGTCATGACATTTGGAGTAGTTGTGGCCTTAATGCCAATCTAATAAAATAAATACTTAGAACTCATCAATTCGTGATGGTTTTTAGAACATTTTGCTATTGTCCATGCATGAAATTATTAACATCTGTTACACTTATATAGTGAAAATAATATGTAATGCTGTATTACTGCATATTTATTTCCAACTCTGTGTGTTCAGTGATGTCACCTGGGTACCTTGAAATCAGCAATGTTGAGAATAATTACATCACGAAATCAGCTGGTGTTACAAACCAGAGCTTGTTGTATGTGAGTTTTTCTCTGTTCCACCAGTTGTTAAAGGACAGCACAGAAGTGGAAGCACCCTTTTTGGCTCTCTGTATTACTTCTGCGAACATTGAGCTCTATCTGACACTGCTATAGCTGTATATGTCAGTAATCCCGGCTGTTATTGCAATCCAACCCTCATTACCATAATTGGCCCCAACTTGTTTCAGAGTGGTGCTCTGACGCTTGGCATTTCCTACGTTAAACCCTGTGCCAATACTCTCTCTGAATTCAGTCCTGTGGGAACATCTCCTACTGTGATCTTTGGCATGCGGAGAAGAGCTATGCCAAGCTTCTCAGCGATGTTTATGTAGGACTTAAGTTCTTCCACCAGTGCTTTCCTTATTGCTTTGGGAAATAAGGTGCCCATTATACCATCCCATAGAACATAGTCAATTGGTGGATTTCCTGTCCTTATTTCTAGTTTACCCTCTATAGCATGCTCACTCCTCTAAGCATTTTTATCTTTTCTTCAGCTATCTGCCATGGGAATTCTGGAATGTTACTCTACTTAGTATGAGCCATTGCTTTCTCCAGTCTTCTGGGAGTTATTTCAGCAGTGTGTCAGCACTGTTCACAGCATTTTTCCAAGTTATTAAATTCTATATTGCAACTGAATGCCCCAATGCTGATAAAATCTCCCTTATCTAGTTTTATGTTTCTGTCATGATCTAGCACCCTCAGAATCCAATCCCACTGTGTACACGCCAAGCTGTTGTTATTATATATTGGTTAAGTCCAAATTCATTCTGAGTATAGCCTTTTTCTCTCCCTTATAAGCTTAGCACATAATCTTAGTTATTAGCCTTATAACCAATAACTTCTTAGAAAGGAAAGTAAGGGAGGGTTATAAGGAGGGTGTGAAGGACTCAATATTTTCTTTAAGTAAGGAAAAAGGTATGACCTCAACAAGGGAGAATATGTAACTTTGTTAGGATTAGAGAGTCCAACATTTAGAAGCTTCTAGATTTTTAAAATTTTTGAGAAAAAAAATTGTGAAAAATCACTATATAAAAGATGGAAAGTATTTTAAATACTTAAATACTTTCATAAATGATGAAAGTATTAAAATACTTAGAAAATACTTAAAATACTTAAATAATGTAGAAAATGGGATTTTTCTATATTATTTTGCAACCCATTTTACTTATTTATATACACATTTTTATGTGTATGTTTCTCTCTCTACACATATGTTTACATATATATATAATATCTTAAAAGTCATCATAAGGAAACAAATAAATCCATAAAAATGGGAAAAATATTTAAATAGGTCATTGAAAAAAGGTATATGAGTTACCAATACGCACATGAATAAATACTCAATGTATCATCAGAGATGTACAAATTAAAATCACATGTAGATTCTACTACACACCTACTAGAATGGTTAAATAGAAAAACATTGGGCATATCTAATGTGGTTATTGATGTGCAGCAAATAGAACCATCCAATATTAATGTTGGGAATGGCACAACTTTTTGGAAAAATATACATTTATAAAATAAAACATACATTTTCTATCTAACCTAGCAGTTTCACCTCCAGGTATTTCTTCAAAAGATTAAAAAACATGTGTCAATAGAAAAACTTTTGCATAAATGTTTATTTTGACCTTACTTATGATATCCAAGAAGTGGAAAAAGCTCAAGGTAGTAATGGATACATTTTATTATAAAATGGATAAAAAATATTTTATGTTGATACAATGAAATACTATTCAGTAATAAAAAGAAATGAACTGCTGATCTATGCAACATGGATAAAACTCAAAAACATGCTCAGTGAAAGACATCAGACTTACAAGAATTACCGACTGTGTCATTCTGTTTACAGGAATTTCTAAAACCAGCAAAGCTCATGTTTATTGATAGTAAGTTGACTGCTACCTGGTTTCAGGGGTGAGGATGAACCACAAAGCAATGGCAGGGAACGTTTTGCTGTGTTGAAAATGTTTTCTATCTTAACTGTTATATCTTTACTGTTTTCCTTTTTGGAACAAAACTAAATTTCACACAACCATAATTGAGTAATCTCTATATTTTTCTAACCATTTCTAATAGTTCTTTGGATACAATCTTTTGTTAACAACAAAGGTAGAATATATTCATTTCCTCATGAATTTTCTGTCTTTTTTTCTGTCCAAAAATGAGAAGAGCAATTTTGTTATCTGTCCTTTCCTTCTGCCCAGAAATGATTAAACCTGTATTTCTTATTCTCTTCATATTTTCTTTCTTTTAATTCCTTTGTACTACGGTTTCTTCTCTATTCTCATTTGCTTTTCCTCTTAAAGTTTCTCTCTCAGAACAAATGCAGTGTTAATCCCGAAGCCACTTGTGGGACACTGGCTTCTTCTCCTCAGTTTCCACCCTAATATATTTGTTGAGGGGTAATTCAAAATCACTGGGAAACTGATTAGAGCAGATTTGAAAATAAAACTGTGGCTTGGTAACTTAGCAAAAGCATAATGGCAATGGCGTCATCTTGTATGCTGATGATAACATTCTGGGCCCTTAGTTACTTTCGTTTTCTGTTTTCCCTCTGGATGTGTTTGTGTGTGTGTGCTCACACCCATAAGTGTGACTGTGCACACATTTGTCTTTGGGAGAGAGAAAATAGTTTTTGTTTTTCTTTCAGTAGCCAAAGTTTAAACTATTGCTTTTTCTTTGATTCTATCGCTTTTAAGGTGATCTTTCTTAACACAGGATAATAAAGCAGTAATGTCCTAAAGAATGCTGTTTAATTAATTAGTATCAGCCTCTCCTACAGCTCTGGAAGGATACCAGTTCTGTACTACTCCTGGATGAATCAGCCACTTGAGCAATTTTGTGTTCTGTAGTTCAGATGAGAATCCCCGCTGAGAACGTAAGAAAATATGTGTTTATTCTTCAGCTTTAAATTTTTATTTCACAACTTCCTTCCTCCTTGGCAAGCTTCTTTTTTTTTTTTTTTTTTTTTTTTTTTTGAGAAGAAAATTGTAATAAAACAGTATGACTAATAGACAGTCCCTTGGTCACTTCCAGTTTGCAAAATGCTATTTAGACTTTGAGTTACTCTTCAAAAGTGGTATACTTCTAGTTTGGAGCTGTGTTGTAAAGACAAGAGCAACATTTTCATATTAAAGTTAAATAAAGTTATAACTTTGAAGAGAGGTTCTGGAAGACATGACAGAAAGCTGCTAGCAGAAAATCAAAAAACTGATTAAAAGAAGCAAGGTAAGAACATTTCTGTTTGTTTAGATTGACCGTTATTTATTGAAATTGTGATGCAAAACGTGAAAGCCTTTGAGAAAAGAAATATATTTTGTGGTTTCTTTTGTGAAGCTAGAAAATTCCTTGTTATAACAACAAGATTGAGATTTGTATGTGACTGTTTTGTCCTAATAAATTCAGACTTACTTCACATTATTTGAATTACAATGGAGAAGGTTTAACCATGACTTAAAACTGCTGAAGATTTAGTTTCACTTTTACTAAGTATTTTATAAAACACATATTTAAGAAGATGTTAGCTATGATCCAGATACTCATACAGTTCTCAGAATGCATACATAATATGAAAAATTTAGCTAATATTTCTAATATTTTTAAAGATTGCTTTATTGGATAGTGTAAAGATACTCTGGGCTTTAGGAGTACTTAACGGAAAGAATATATCCCTTTCCTACTCTTACTAAGGAATTGCTAGTATTCCGATATCCATGGAGACATCTTTACCAACCCTAAGAAGGATAAGAGAGAAAATATTCTAAAAAATACACTATGAAACAACGTGGTAGCACTGGATTTATTAAATAGCAAGTTCAGAATATGTAAGATCCAAACTACATCGCTGGGATTTCAACAGGGTTTATTTATGTCAAAATATGTGAAAGAGAAGAGGCTGAAACTAAATGCATTCAATACAACAATCTATGATTTAGGGATTTAGGGACTGTGATGAGCTTTAAGCATTTCTCATTTAACTAAATGTCAACCTACCAGTGCATGCTACCGTCAAAAAAATTATTGCTGTGGTACAATAGAATGCATACTTTATCCTTCCTCCCTTATTTTAACCAGTTTTATAATTCTACCTAAAGTTAGATAAAAGAAGTTTAGGAGGAATGAGATCAATATTTGATAGTAGCATACAATATCATCTTAATCAAAAGTTTTAAGAATGCCTTCCAGCCACTAGTAAAACCAGTGTTATTTTCAGTTGTATAAATTTATACATTTGTATATAAATACATTATATAATACAATAATATGTATCATATTACATATGAATATATTTTAAAAGTTACTGAATAATATATTCAGTATAAGATTATATATATTATATATACACATATATCTGAAATTATGAACATCGTTTTAATAGCAGTAATTTAGGGCAGTGTGATATAATTCAGTTAGTTTTTATATACATTTTAATAAATATTTTGTTTTCTCCACTTATCAATATTTTTTGGTTTTTTTCTACAGCTATCAGCTAAGAAAAATAATATTCTGTTTGATTTTAAATGCACTGGTCACTCTGCATCTTTCTTATCTTTCCTTAGAGAGCAGAATCAAAGACGAAATGGTTGAGTCAGTGAAACTTTTCTATGGGGAAGACAATTGCAGTCCTTAGCTGTTTAGATTACAAATTTGAATAGATTATAAATTTAGATTATAAATTTGATTATAAATTTTAGTTACACTGTTAATTAAATCCATTGTTCTCGAACTGTCTGGGGAAGTGTTCTTTGATGCATAGCCTCATCAAATGTTAAGAAGACTCAGCAACTTTGAAATTCAGTTTCAATATCAGCTTCATCGTGGGAGATCACAATTTTTTAACTTTTTGAAAGGCAACTATGCTAACCACATTCTACCAATGCCACTATTTTTTTTTTTTTTTGATAACTCATGTAAATAATTACAGCCTCCTAAGTAAGTATTGAGAATTCAGTAACAATGAAAAGATTCTGGGAAATAAAAAGTGAAAACAACTTACAGTGAGTGTAAAAAGCTAGATTTCAGGGCTCAGGAAATAGATTAAGTAGAGAATGAACACATAGTAGATTTAAATTTGTACCTACATATTCAGAAGTGCAATAAACATTGAATTCATTAGTTATTTAAATAAAATTAAATGTTACTTCAAGTCTCTATCCCACTGAATGGAGAGGACGGGTCACTTACTTTCTGTCATTTGGTGGTATTGAGAGTGAGAGATTTCTTCCAAGGTTATATGAAGTTTCCCAGGTTTTATAAGACATCGAAGTGTTATAATGGTCTCCATTCATCAGTCTCCACTGATTACGTCTGAGAAGACCACGTTCCAATATAAATTATCTCTTCGTGTCTAGTTCTACTATTTTGTGCTGCACTCATAACAAAAACCACACTGGTTTGTTTTGTTTTGTTTTGTTTTGTTTTGCCACATTTAAAGTACAATCATCTTTATTGAAGCTGGGGTCATCTGTACATAAGATCTACCATCTCTGTATACACCACCAAGTCCTTATACTCTAATACCTTGCCAACTTTGCAATTGAAAGGCCTCCTATTTTCCCCGCATCTGCAAATCGTCATTTCTCATATTGTCAGGATGTGCATTGCCCTTCTACTTACCTGTTAGCTCAGAGTTATTTCCTCTGTTTTAAATCCCTTTGCAATTCTCAGAAACATTACTTCAATAAGCTAGATTTTTTTAAATTGAAAAGGCCGTTGATTTAAGTAGCTTAGGGTTTTCTTTTCAATAGTCATTATGAAAGAAAGAATATCAAAATGGTCTGACTACCTCCTTCAAATAACGGATATGAAACTGACTCAAAAAATACTTCTACTTGCTGCAAATGTAAATAAACTTTACACTCTTAACACACACAAAATTATTAAAATATTTTAAAATAGTACAACTATAACACAAGAAAAAAATAATAGCAAAAGTTACCTTTTATTTACTTCCTGTTGTAACTATACTTTCTAAAAACACAACACACATATGCTCTTTAATTAAAAAAAAATAGAAGTGATACTAGTTAATGGATGAAGAGATATAGGATCAAATGGGGGTAAGAAAATACAATTACATGGCACAAAGCTTTGATCAAGATTTTGAAATCATGATATCTCTATCTTTTTACATTATGCCAATTCACGGGGAGAAAAACGGAATGACATACTGATATATTTACTTGATTCATGGCATGGAAAAGGGAGAAAGAACTTCCTGTCTTTTTGATACTTGAGGTTTAAAGAAAATTAATCAATAATTCACGATATTAATAAGGTTATATATGAAAGATAAGAAACCTCATCAGAAACAGCTTGGACTGACATTCTGAACTGAGGCATGTACAATCCCAAAAAGGATGACCGTCATCCTGACATGACTATACAGTCATATATGTACACACACACACACATACACACATATAAATTATATAAATTTATATGTATGTATAATATATACAATCATATATATAAATCATATATATACATATATATACACATCTAAATTACTGCTATTAAAATGATGTTCATAAATTCAGATATATATGTATGTATAATATACATATGCTGTAATCCCAGCACTTTGGGAGGCTGAGGCAGGCGGATCACGAGGGCAGGAGATGGAGACCATCCTGGCTAACACAGTGAAACCCCGTCTCTACCAAAAATATAAAAAATTTGGTGGGCGCCTGTAGTCCCAGCTACTCGGGAGGCTGAGGCAGGAGAATGATGTAAACCCGGGGGGCGGAGCTTGCAGTGAGCCGAGATCGCGCCCCTGCACTCCAGCCTGGGCAACAGAGCGAGACTCCATCTTAAAAAAAAAAAAAGAGATAATAACTTACATTACAAAGAAAAGAACAGCAACAAAGGACAAAAACACTTTTACTCCACCCTCACACATTTTTAATTTAGTTGTCCCAATTTACATATTTTTTTGCCTACCTCTTAATTGGTTTCTGTAGCTGTCATTGTTTTTGATAGATTTGTCTTCTGGTCTTCATACTAGAGATGTGAGAAGGTTGTGTACCACAATTACAGTATTAGAGTATTCTGGGTTTGTCCATACATTTAATTTTATCAACTGTTTTCTATTCATGTGTTTTTTTACCTTTGGGCTGAAGAACTCCCTTTAACATTTCTTAATAGACTTGTCTGGTGGTGGTGAATTCTCTCAGTATTTTGTTTGTCTGGGAAACACTGTCTCTTCTTCATATTTGAAGGTTAGCTTTGCAGGATACAGTATTCTTA